CATTTTAATACTTGTTTTGCAAAGTGCGGACGTAAAAAAACGATCGTCGCCTGTTTCTCATGGATAATGACCATTTACAAACGAGTAAAGCAGCGCGAAAAGCAATGGAAAAAATCGAGGCTGAAGTTTCACAAGATTCCGGCTAAATCGCCTGACCTGAACCCGACTGAAAATGTCTTTCACTTGGTAAAGAAAAGTCTCGAGAATGAAGCAATTGCTAATAATATAACGTAAGAAACGTTCCAAGACTTTCCAGCGCGGGTTTTAAAATCCTTGGAAAATCTGTCAACCGATATAATCGATCGTACTATTTCAAGCCTGTCAAGTCGAGTAGATGCTGTTCTTAAAGCAAGAGGAAATCGCATAAAATACTAGGAGTTCTATCTTTTACTGTTATATATGGTAATTCAAGGCAGAGTAAGGGCAGTATAGATCAAAATAGGTGTAGCCATTTTCGCAAATAGGCAATTAGCTTGCTGTCAACAAGTAGATTAAATGCTAAGTACAATTACACGTCTTCACAGCGTGACTCCAATGGTGCAGCAACGCAAAATTACAAACAGTGTTCCCTTGATATTTCCTAAGTATTTGCCAAGGATGCAGAATTTTTTGTTTTCGGATACACAAAGTGGTTTGCATTACTTGAATAAATGCATTTATTCATTATAAAATCTTATTTAGGTCATTATTGCTAAATTAAGAACAGTACTCCACAAACCTAGCTTAAATTCCTAGACTATCTCACTGAATTCTTTAGGAAAATGGGGAGCACTGTTCAAAATCATGCAAGATATAGTTATAATTTATTTATTTCGAAGCAAATACGTTGACCATTAAATATCATTATCAAAGATCGTTATATTATTTGCAAATATTAAAATTTAATAGATTTACAATGAATTTTTTGATGGAGTAATGTATGGACCTATGACTTTATGTTATGCATATCTTGGCGTGAAACATTATAGGTTGTAAGTGCTTATTACGTCAATGACTAATGCGATTTAGTTATAACTTGTAATCTAAAACAAACTTAGCAAAGCAATGTCCACATGATATTCAGTCGTCAAATGTAACTTGTGAAATATATACAAGACCACAAATTACGGCTTAAATACTTGTTTCCATCTGATTATATTTTTCAAAATGTGCACACGCCCATAATGTTGTTAGATTGAGTACGATTAAAGTGAAAATTCTAAAAAAGGATATATGTTTGAAATAGCGAACTTTAATATGTCATTATTATTACATTTTATTATTATTATATTATAAATGTTTATTATTTATTTAGACGCACGTTATTAATACGCAAAACATTATTAAAGGTTCACTAACGGTTCAAGAATTAAGGCCGATGTATTGTGATGAAATAAAAATGTAAGATAATGCACATTCAGACAATCCTGGTCAATAATCCTTGGCGCACTTAGTCGAAATAGCATAACCTGTACTTCATTTTTGATTACCATATAAATATTTGCCAATTTTATACAAAATTTCATGTCCAAACACCCCCTATCCCCCTTATCAATGTTGTGTAACACCTTGGACGTATAACACACTACAGACAACATTGAACGGGGGAAAGGGGGATTGTTATTGAAGTGGGAGTCAAATTTCGCACAGTCAGTGTCAAGTGCGCCAATATTATTGACCAGGATTGTCCGAATATAAAGATGAAACTAAAATTTATGTACATATATAATTTTGACTCAGAATGTACCGAAGCATTATTTACGTGTTTTCCACGTATATTGGGAGGCGTGTTCTAGATGATTTCGTTGGGAGTTATTGAAAACCTAGCGTGCGCGTCGTAATGTTGATAATTATGACGTCATATGTGGGGGGTGTGTTACTATGAATCATGATAATCCCGTACGCGTATATTAAGTGAGGCTGACTAGAAAATAAAATTGAATAATATGCATTTCGATAATTAGATTCATTTAAGGATGATTTACACAAGAAAAATCATAGCAAAGACAAGGGCTTTGGTACTTTATTATAGAAAGGAATCGGGTTTTTCGAATAGGGAGATCGCGAGAAAATGTCATATAAGCCCTTCATCAGTAGCAAGAATATAGAGGGAAGACCAACAACCAGCTGCGCTGAGATCTAAACAATTAAAAGGCAACAAGTCGCCCAAGAAAAGTTGACGAGCGATCGTAAATGTCGCTATTTTGAAAGGATTGGAAAGGTGTGGATCTCAAAGTTCCCTATAAGAAAATAAATGGCAATTTCTTTGCAGAGTTCATTGGAAAGCATTTTAATACTTGTTTTGCAAAGTGCGGACGTAAAAAAAAGATCGTCGCCTGTTTCTCATGGATAATGACCAATTACAAACGAGTAAAGCAGCGCGAAAAGCAATGGAAAAAATCGAGGCTGAATTTCACAAGATTCCGGCTAGATCGCCGGACCTGAACCCGATTGAAAATGTCTTTCACTTGGTAAAGAAAAGTCTCGAGAATGAAGCAATTGCTAATAATATAACGTAAGAAACGTTCCAAGACTTTTCAGCGCGGGTTTTAAAATCCTTGGAAAATCTGTCAACCGATGTAATCGATCGTACTATTTCAAGCCTGTCAAGTCGAGTAGATGCTGTTCTTAAAGCAAGAGGAAATCGCATAAAATACTAGGAGTTCTATCTTTTACTGTTATATATGGTAATTCAAGGCAGAGTAAGGGCAGTATAGATCAAAATAGGTGTAGCCATTTTCGCAAATAGGCAATTAGCTTGCTGTCAACAAGTAGATTAAATGCTAAGTACAATTACACGTCTTCACAGCGTGACTCCAATGGTGCAGCAACGCAAAATTACAAACAGTGTTCCCTTGATATTTCCTAATTATTTGCCAAGGATGCAGAAATTTTTAATAACTTGTAATCTAAAACAAACTTAGCAAAGCAATGTCCACATGGTATTGAGGTATTCAGTCGTCAAATGTAACTTGTGAAATATATACAAGACCACAAATTACGGCTTAAATACTTGTTTCCATCTGATTATATTTGTCAAAATGTGCACACGCCCATAATGTTGTTAGATTAAGTACGATTAAAGTGAAAATTCTAAAAAAGGATATATGTATGAAATAGCGTACTTTAATATGTCATTATTATTATATTTTATTATTATTGTATTATAAATGTTTATTATTTATTTAGACCCACGTTATTAATACGCAAAACATTATTAAAGGTTCACTAACGATTCAAGGATTAAGGCCGATGTATTTTGATGAAATAAAAACAAAATGTAAGATAATGCACATTCAGACAATCCTGGTCAAAAATCCTTGGCGCACTTAGTCGAAATAGCATAACCTTTACTTCATTTCTGATTCCCATATAAATACTTGCACGTTTTATGCAAAATTTCATGTCCAAACACCCCTATCCCCCTTATCAATGTTGTGTAACACCTTGGACGTATAACACACTACAGACAACATTGAACGGGGAAAAGGGGGGGGGGGGTTGCTATGCTTGTTATTCAAGTGGGAGTCAATAACATATTTTTGACCAGGATTGTATGAATAGACTATCGATATTATTTATAAAAAAACATAAACGGTCACTCACGAAAAAGCTTTACGAAGTTACTTTGTGCAATTTTCAAGGATATAACAAAATGTTTTTATCGGACAATTTAGCAGTCGGCCAAGTCAAACAAACAGTTTCTCTTCACCCTGTAGAAAGCCGCCATCTTTGTTTTACGACCTGTTCGCAGGCGTACAAGCCCTAATTCTAGTGGACCTGAGTGTTTAACGCACACACCCACACCTTTGCTTTTGGACCAGTAAACTATACGTAGGTATAAAAACACACGACTCGGAAGTAGTCTTAGGTACGTCTTGACTCTTAAGTTTGTACCAGATCAGGTACGCGGCAAAAGTTGTCGGAGTACCAGTCAGGTACGGCTAAAAATTATCGCACTCTGGCAAGGACAGTCGCGTGCTAAGGACCACGTACAGTGTATATGCGTGTAAGCACGCCTGATCAGTTAAAGAAGCATAGGCGTACCGGGCGGGGGGGCGGGGGGGGGGCGGTAGCCCCCCCAGTTTTTTGGGCAGTCGGGCAATATTCGATCAACAGTCGGGCAATTTTGGTCTGCAATAAAAAAAATGGGACAAATTCAGTCAATTTTGTCTAAAATTAAGTAAATTTTTTGGCAAATTATGTGATTTTTCGAAAATTTGTGTTATGTTCCGAAAAATTTTGGTTGCGGGAGGTCGCCAAAAATTATTTTTCCGGGAAAAATTTTTTGGTACTAGTCGGGCAGAATCCCGAAAAGTCGGGCGATTTTCTTTCCGCCCCCCTAATTTTTTCCTTCCGGTACGCCCATGTAAAGAAGTATCAAACATATATTCATACGAAAATTGAATAAATTTTTATTAATATTGAATAAGAAATTTGCAAATTTCACAGGGGTATAGCTTCCTCATTTTACAACATTTCGCAACCAAACTTTGCAATCTTACTAATCGGAATCGCAGGGCAGCAGGTTCGATGCCTGTCCGAGGACCTTTCCGGACAAAACTTTTTTTCTGGCTAACACCCTGAATTTCCATCTAAAAATCCCTTCAATAATGGACCAATCCCCAATTAACCGAAATTTTGAACTCAACAAGTCTAGACAAAAATTTCATCACAGCTTGAAAGAGAATCACAAAATTAGTAATATTCCAAAGTTTCGTTGCGAAATGTTGTAAAATGCGGATAGTATAGCCTTGCGAAGTTTGCAATTTTCAGTCATTTTAGATTACAAACGGGAAATGGTTACCACTTCTGTGCGTAATACAAAATGACTGAAAATTACAAACTTCGCAAGGCTACTTTATCCGCACTTTATAAAATTTTGCAACGAAACTTTGGAATATTACTAATTTTGCGATGCTCTTTCATGCTATGACGGAATTTTGTCTAGACTTGTTGAGATCAAAATTTTGGTTAATTGGGGAATGGTCCATTCTGACCATTGATGAAATTTTTGTTTAGGCTAGTTAGGATCAAAATTTTGGAAAAGTGGTAACCATTTCCCGTTTGTAATCTAAAATGACTGAAAATTGCAAATTTCGCAAGGCTATATTATCCGCATTTTACAACATTTCGCAACGAAACTTTGGAATATTACTAATTTTGTGATGCTCTTTCATGCTATGATGGAATTTTGTCTAGACTTGTTGAGATCAAAATTTTGGTTAATTGGGGAATGGTCCATTACTGTATCTATACACCCCAGACTCTTGCATGTATCAGTGAACTTACCAATGACTCGGAGTTCTCGTGGTTCATTCCATTGGTTTCATTCTCATCGTCTTCGTGGACGGACGCATTCCGTGGATTGTCGATAGACAGGAATTCACGAACAAGTGGACTGGAATAGTAGAAACGGAAATATATTTAATAGGTACATTAAGCAAGACATAATTGTATGGAGGCAGTCGCCAGAGCAGGCGCCTTTCACCTCTGAGATCGTGGGTTCGATCATAGGCGTACCGGGCGGGGGGGGGGCGGGGGGGCGGGGCGGTAGCCCCCCCAGTTTTTTGGACAGTCGGGCAATATTCGATCAACAGTCGGGCAATTTTGGTTTGCAATAAAAAAAAATGGGACAAATTATGTAAATTGTGTCTAAAATTAAGTCAATTTTTTGGCAAATTTAGTGATTTTTCAAAAATTTGTGTTATGTTCCGAAAAATTTTGGTTGTCCGGAAAATTTTTTTGACCCCTAAAATGGTACACTGACCGAAATTTTTGACCCCTAAAATGGTACACTGACCGGGGGGGGAGGTCGCCAAAATAATTTTTCCGGAAAAAATTTTTTGGTACTAGTCGGGCAGAATCCCGAGAAGTCTTTCCGCCCCCCTAATTTTTTCCTTCCGGTACGCCCATGGGTTCGATTCTCGCTTGGGACTCGTGTGAAAAGAGTCTGTCAACGCCACTGAACTACACGCGTAAAAATCATCATGTTGATGCAAGTTGTTCAAAACAGGAGCGAACAATGTTGTGCTGCACCCCGTGAACAATATTGTTAACAAGTTG